CGACCCCGCGTCCCCTGCATCGGCAGGCGGACTCTCAACCACTGCGCCACCAGGGAAGCCCTGGGTCAGTGTTTGATGAGTGAGTGGTGGACACCTACCGGCGGCGGCCGTGTTATTTTCACATCAGTCCAAGAACTTCCCGCCTGCCAGGACTGCCGCTTGGGGTTGTGGAGTTTGTGTCCTGAACACCAGCAAGGGGGACAGTTGTGGCTGAAATCCAGCTGGCAGTTCAGGTAAAGCCTAGAAGGAGAAATAGACGCCTTTTCCTAATTGGCTCCCCCCTAGGGCAGCCTTTTCCTAATTGGTCTGCCCATGGGGTGGGAGGGCAAGAAAACTTCTATTTAGTCCGCTCATAAGGGGCACTTTTCCTGTTTTGCTCATCAGAGGCGTCCATTTCTAACAGTGCAGAGGCGCTGTGTGCCCACCTGCCTGCCCACCCCGCCGCAGGTGTTGCTGAGCTTTCTTAAGGTATGGCCCACTTTGAAGATGGAAATCCCGTTCCATCCAGAAAACAAAATATAAACCACCTATTAAAATTCCAATCAGTGCACTTAATGTTTATTGACAGCCTGCACAGAGATCAGTCCCCACCCCGGAGCCAGTTAGAAGGAAGGTGGTGATGAACCGCCATCTCCTCCGGGTTCGCAAGGCTCATTGCACCTGTTTGTTGATGGCTTCCCGCGGCCCCTGAGCCAGGCGCTTCAAACACACTCGATCTGATACCTGCCTTACAGTAACCCTTGAGATAGGCACTACATTTTCCCATTTTACAGATAGGGAAACGGAGGTGACAGAAGCGACGTGACTTGCCCCGAGCCTTCAGCTAGGAAGTGCGGGGACCTAGGAAATCAGGCCCTCCTTTGCCCAGGAAATCCTGCACACTCTGTAACCCTCTCTTGGAATCCTTTTGGCTCCGGGCATCTCGTGCGCACCGTCGTTCGAACGCCTGCCTATTTTTGTGGGGGGCGGGCGGGCTGTGGGCAACAGTCAGGGTACCAGGGTACCCAGGCCCTTCACTGACGACCTCCCCGCCCCCCACCCCCGCAGGCGTGAAGACCCCCTTGTGGAAGAAGGATCTGGAGCAGCCCGGGACCAGAGAGGCAGAGGCAGAGGCGGAGGCGGAGGCCGCGGAGCGGGGGCCGGAGGAGGACGAGGAGAGGCCGCTGGAGGAGCGCGGGGCCGAGGGCGAGGCGGAGGGCGGGGAGGCGGAGGGTGGCGAGGGCTGGGAGCGGGGCTCCGTGTCGTACTATCCGCTGAGCCAGGAGTCCAGCACCCAGCAGGTGGCGCTGCTGCGGCGCGCGGACAGCGGCTTCTGGGGCTGGTTCAGCCCCTTCGCACTGCTCGGCGGCCTGGCCCCTCCCGCCAACAGGTGAGGGCGCGCCGCTCGGCGGGGGCGGGATGTACTGGCGCCAGGGCCCCGGGCTGGAGCGGGCGGCGCGGTTCCCTGAGCGCCCCGGCCTCCGCCCGCAGGAAGCGGATCCCCCCGGAGGAGCCGTGCGTGCTGGAGACGCGGCAGCGGCGGCTGCGCGGCGCGGGCTGCGCGCGCTGTGAGATCCTTTTCTGCAACAAGTGCAGGAACCTGCACAGCTCGCAGAGCTACGTGGCGCACTGCGTTCTGGAGCACCCGGATCTCCGGGAGGCGCGGGCTTCTGGAGGCGCGGGGTCTGCCGTGGGCCTTTGAGCGCCCCCCAATCCCCGGCCTCTGTGGCCCTCCATCCTCGCCCGACTCCAAATTCCCCGCCACCCTCTCCTCTCCCCCGACGCGGAGCGCTCTCCAGCACGTACCTGAGAGCCGCCTTCCCGGAGCGCCCCTCTCCGAGCAGCCCAGCAGGCCCACCGCGGACGACCGGCCCCACCTGTCATCATTGCGGAGCCCAACATCACCTGGAGCTCCATTCCTCCAACAGCGCCTCCCGAGGGCCCCAGCGCCCGGGTCAGCACGCAGTGCCCACCGCCCACCTGACTAGCGCCCCCTGGTACAGCCTCACGCTCATCTCTGGGGTATTTCACGTCTTTCGGGCCCGGTGAGCAGAGGCGTCGCCTAGGGAAAATAACCCCTCTGGGAAACTTGCCCCTTCCCTCAAATCATTCAATAAAGCCCCTAATCAAAGTGTCAGTGCCTTGAGGTGGGGCGTGGGATAAAGATCGACCCTCCTCCCCTTCCCCTGGGTTCAAGCCAGAGGGAAAAGGGCAGGCGGAGAGACTCCTCCCTGCAACTCCCCCCCGGGCGGGGCGGAACAAAACCCTTGCAGCCAAGGGCAGTCAAAGGCCATTCTCCCCACCGCGCAGAGAAAATGAAGCTGCGGGGCCAGGAATGGCCACTGGCAGCTGAGGACTGAAGCTGGCCGGACCTTCCTCCCCTCCCGCGGGAAGCCCGGTCTGGCTGAGGTCAGTGTGTGTGCAGAGGAGGCACTGGCAGGTGTGCAGGGGGCAGGACTAGAACCAGCCCCAGAAGCCGCTGAGACAGAAGACTGGGAGGCCGGGGAGCTGGGTCCTTCTCCAGGAATCCCAGCTATTCTCGGCCGGCCAGCGGGAGCTCCTGGAATGCTTCGTGTGTGGCCAGGAGAATGGGGCCATTGTGAGCACGAAGCTCTCCCGGCCTGCAGAGCCCCCAGCGACTGCAGCTGTGCAGACCTCCAGAGAGGCCCCTGTCCTCCTCCTGCCACACAGGGTCCTTCATCTGGCCTGGGGGATGAGGTGGGCGAAGGATATTTTGATTTTTGAGGAGAGAGGCAGGGCCCCTCTCCCCATCACAACTACACACACGCACAACTCACTGGTCCCGGCTTTGACCGGAAGAACATGGTTGCAGCCTCCCTAGTATCCATACCCACCTGCTCTCACTGGAAACGTGTCCAAGGAAGGCTGCTTCCCCCCTCCAGGCCCACCAGCTGGGAGCGCCTCTTTATTCCAGCCTTCCCCCCACCCCCTGAAAGAAACAGGGCCCAGCAGGCCTGCATCGGTCTCCTTCTTGTTCTGGGTCGTGACACCCCTGAGGTTGGAGACCCTTGTACTCAATCCATCCAATCTTCCTGGGGGTGGGGCCTCTGATTAAATAAGACACAATCCTCCAAGGACTGAGCCAGGAGGTCCTGAGGGGAAGGGACAGTCTTGCAAAGTGGTCCCAACTTCTCCATTGAGTTTTGCATCCTTCCTGGTTGCCCAGTGCTGTGGCCTCATGGACAGGAACTGCACCTTTAGGGGAAGAAACAAAATCCCCAAGGCCTGGGGAGGAATGAGTCTTTGGGGAAAGGGCGGTGGGGTCTGGGATCCTTTTCGGCTTCTTGTTGAATTGATCCGACAAAGATCAATGTCTTGCCAGCACAAAGACATTCTCCAGGGAACAAATGCAGATGAACTTTCCTGCCTGGACTTCTGCAGGGAGGCTCAGAGGCTTCCAGACAGGGTCTGCCCTCGGGGCTGGGGATACGCGTTGGCCACGAGAGAGCGCCAGCAATTCACTAAGAGGTGGGGGCATCTTCAGAACAGGGTGCCCCCCGAGTTGGCGTGCCAGCAGCCCATCCAGGGCAGCTCTGTGGCCCAGCGGCCCGAGGGCGTTGCTCGAAGTTTGGCCTGGTCGAGGCGCCAGTAACGGTCGTCTCTGAAGAAGATGATGGAGCCGTCGGGCCTGGGCAGAGCGCCGCTGACCTCCTCAGGGACACCGCCCCAGTCCTGCAGGCCTCGGGGGTAGTAGGGCTCCACCTGCAGCCCCCCTCGGGCCAGCACGTAGTAGCGGGTGCCCTTGAAGAGGATGAGGCGACTCAGAGGAGGGAAGTAGAGGGCAGCATCCGGGTGGGGGGGCAGGCCCCCTGCCCGGCACAGCTGTGGGGAGCCCCACACTGGCTTGGGGCCCTGGAACCTCCAGCATCGACTCCCTGTGGGACATCGGCAGAGCCAGCGTGAGTTGGTGCGCTCGCCCTTTGGTCCTCTACCCCACCTCTGTCCCCCCATATTCCTACTCCCCTTCATGTTGGAGTCCAAGGTGGTCAGTATTTGTGATAATCAAAATAGATCAGTTGTAAACAGTAGAGGAGGGACTCTTGTGGCCTCCACTTCCAGCAGGTGTCCGCAGAGGGCAGGTTGCTCTGAAGGAACCTCCCCACCCCAGGTAGGAAGCACGCGCCCTCCCAGGTGAGTGGTAGACTTCAGGGAAGTCCAGGGGCTTTCTCCACAGCCATTACTACCAACAGTTCTGTGAGGGCAGGGAATTTTGTTTTGATCACTACTGTATCCCAACACCTCCAGCCGCGTTTGTAGAAGGCACTCAATATTTGTTGAATCAATGAACGAACACAATTTTCTCATGGAATATACTGCACATTCCTCAGACATTATGTTCTTTTAATCCTCCTTCCCCAACAAACCTGAGGGATTATTTTCCCCGTTCAACAAATTCAAGCTCCAAGAGTTAAGTGACAGGCCCAGACTCACACAGCCAGGATTCCAAGGAAGGTTTGTCCTTCTGCTGTATTGCAGAGCTCAGAGCCATCCTCTGCTTCCCTCTAGACTCTTCTCTGAAACTCTCCCACCCGCTCTCGCTCTCGCTCTCTCTCTCTCTCTCTCTCTCTCTCTCTCTCTCTCTCTCTCTCTCTCGGACAACCGTGACACCTGTGCCCCCCAATCCATCCTAAAGGAATCTCCTGGGAGAGTTTCTGGGGCCACAGGTTCAGCATGGAATTGAGACTCCTCCCCTCTTTTGACCTTGGGCAGACTCCTCCCCTCTCCAGGCTTCAATTTTCTCATCCGCCCCAGGGCTGGTACCTTTGAAGAAGTAGAAGTCTCCATCCTCCAATGACACCGCGGCAGCCTCAATATGGGGGGGCAGCCCTGCCCACCTTTTCTGTAGTGGGTGGGGCTCTGAGACGTTGCCATCAGCTGTCACCTCCCAGAACTGGTTCCCTTGAAATATGTACAGTCGATGTTGCCCATCTGCCCAGAGACAAGGGAAAGTTGACGAGTGATCATCAGCCTCCTGCCTTCTTTCCAGGGAAGGTGCTTCCCTAGAACCCAGCTTCCCAAACTGACGAGAGAGGATGCAGCAGAGAGGATACAGCATGCACAGCTCGGGCAGAGGGGAAAGTGCAGGAGGAAGCAGAGTTTTGCTTGGCGTGGGCTTGCTACCCTGCAGAATGCTTGTGACTTGGGATTTCTGGATTTTATAATTCATCCTCCAACCTTGTACTCCAGCTCTGGAGACCCCTGGAGATGTGGAGGAGGAGGAGGGAAGAAGGAAGCAAGGAACCAGCGGGACCATCTTACCTACAGTGATTGCATCGAAGGAAGAGTGGCAATATTTAGGACCTCGGGTTTCGGGGCGCCTTCCTTGGAGTCTGTGGGGGTCCCAGGCCTCAAAGTCCGTGAACAGCTTTCCGGGGAGCTGGATGGCCCCTGAGCCGCCCTGGGGCTTCCCTTCACAGGGAAGGAGAGAAGTGGGAGAGAATGCACACTGGTTGGGGGTGTGTTGAGTGCTCGAGACCTCCCCCTTGGTTCATTTCATTATCTGACATGAGGGGCAGGGATGGAGGGCAGGGGTGGGGGGTTAAGAATTGTCCTTGGTTGTTGGTGTTATAACCATAGCACCAAACTCAGAAGTCCTCTTTCCTG